AATTTATAAAGTACACTGTGTACTTTATAAATTTTATAAAAATCTGTTTAAAAATTACTCAAGTCTATTGAACAGAAAAAAAAACTTTGATAGTCATCATATTTATGAAACATCAAAGTATGAATATCTATTATTTATAAAACGAGTCTCCCGCGTGATGAAATGAATAAAGTAAAACATTATTTCTTAATAATTTTTATTTCAATCAATGAAATGCACTTTAAATACGTTTAAATTTCAAAAATTTATACTCGAAATCATGTAATATGATCTTATTCTTAGCACTCACTGGCTAACAAATATCTTTAAAAAAATCTGTTTTTAAATCTGAATCTTATTCTAAATGAACGTATATGAAAAAGGATCTGTAATGAACCAACAAAAATGACCGGTGGTTCAAACTATTGTGGAAGAGAATTTTTTCAAAGGACATTTTTTGAAAAGAAAATTTTATTTCGAATCATGACACTGAAAAGAGAAAAAAATCTGCTGTATAAAAAAAATTAATAACATAAAAATAGAAGGTTGGCATGAGGCTTAGGTTTTGATGTTACATTCATATCGTATGCTCTCGAAACTACCCCCAACAAAAAAGAATTGAAAAAAAAACATCTGTCCATTTGAACCGAGAGTTAAAAGGCCACAAACTATGGATTTGAAATACCCAGCTTCCACTTTTCGTTGACACTCACGATACATGCAAAATAAACTTATAAATAGAACTTTTATGGGACAATTGGGTTTCGTTAGAAGGAACAAAAGTCAGATGTGCATTTTCTTTAAGACCGGGGGAGATTTTTCGTTGTGAATGCAACGGACTTTATGTTTGAGGCTGAAAATTCCTTGTTAAGAAGTTTTAAGAAGCACGATTGATATTTATGACCTTTCATGATGATCACAACACATAGCACTCGTCTTAAGTAGATTATGTTGACAATCTGTGTGACATTAGTTGACATCAAATTTTTCGTTAGATTTGCTGATGTTGATGATATTCAGATATAGAAAGTACCATGCAATTTTCATAAAACATTAAGCAAGCCAGTTAAGTTAATAAGTATGATTATAAATATATGCATAGGATTATCAAAGCTTTAATTTTTGTTGTGATAAAGAAAAAATGAGTTGTCACAATATATTTAACATTAAAGAGTTAAGCACAATAAAATCAAAATTATTTTTTTCAATTTCATGTTTTCATTAAAAAAAAAAGTATTGCAAAACTACGTCATAGAATTGAAGTAACATTTAGGTTTTCTTTAATTTAAATATAATTTTACCACGTGTCTAGACGATTTCTTTGACTTCTTTCCCTTCTTGAACTATGATTTGAAATGCAGAAGAGAAGCGGAAAAAGTCAACGAATGGTGAAAACAAGGAAGAATATTAAAAATCATAAAGATTTGTTTTGAAGGGTCGTTTAAATTTTCTAAGAAAGAAGAAGAAGATCTTTGAAAAGGAAAGAAATCTTGGCACGCGTTAACTATTCATATAAATTTCTTCACATATATTAACAGTCATCATAAATAGAAAAGGGAGAATCAAATAACTTGTATTTATTTTTGTTAATGGAACGTTCAGGGCATCCATCTAATGTCAAATGTCAATTGATTGTGAGAAAGAATAAGTTTGATGAATGAAATTCGAAATTATTTTTAAAAAGCGATTTATTCAAAATATGGAAACCTTAAATTAATTAAGTACAATTAATCAGCTTAATAGTTAGTCTCTGAAATTAAAATTATTATTTGATTTTTTATTATAAATAAGTTCCTTTTATTGCAATAAGATTTGTTTGGTTGAGAAGTTTTTATATTTGGTTTTGATTTGGTTTTGTCTTTCTTTGGTCAAAAAATATTAAAACTCTTAAAATTAAATGAACACGCACACGCACACAATTTTTTTTTATAAATTCAATAATTAAAAGCCTTACGAAAATAATAAATAAACTAAAATTATTTGTGTTAACCCTGACTAGGTCGCTTAAAACAAGAATTTGTTAATTGAAAAGGAAATAAATTAAGATATTTAAATTATGAAACTTCCTTAAAATGTTCTATTGTAGCCATCTTGTGAATTATAAAAAAAAAACAGAATGATGAAATTGAAACATGCGCAATGCTGACACAATTATGAATGTGGAAATTTTGCAATGTGCAAGAAAAATTGTACTTTATCATCTGTTTTAGTTCCACACATATTACATTTGAATGGATCTTCACCCACAGAGTGATAGCCACTGTGAAGTGAAAATAAAACATTATCTTTGAAAATTATTCCACAAAACTTACATTCATAATCTGATTCTTTATCATCGTAAGTTATATCTATCGAGTTTAATTGAGAATCAGTTTTAACAGAAATATCGTTGTTCAATTTAGCAATCCTGGATGTTGATAGATTTTCGTCGTAAGTGTAATCTTCCATCTCGTCTTGAAGATCTATATGAGAATTCATTTTCTCGTCAAATTTGAAAGCCTTACCCTTCCGTTTTGTCTTACGTCCTACTTTTCTCTCAACATTTAATTTTTTAGGTGATGGCTTGGTTTCTGAAGAGAATTCATCATCTTTGTGTTCGTCATGATGTAGTTTTTCATTCTGTTGAAGTTGATTCTGTTGCTGTGCAGCAAACATTTGAAAATTAAGATTAAAATAGGGAAACAACGGTAATTTATTTTGCAGCATGTTGACCATCATCGCAGCATTTGGAAGCATGCTAGAAGGGGGTGTCTTAGTAATTGAATTCGTTGTAGTTGTTTGAAAGGAACTCGATGACGGTGTTAATGGTGGTGAAAGTTGGGATTTCTGAGCTTGATGTTGTGCTTGTTGGTTTTTTTCGATTTCCGCTAACAATTTTGAAGTAGTGGATTTGCTTTTAGGTCCACGCCGTGTACCGTACACATCAATGATAGGCAAAGGATTCGGTGTGCCGTCAAGATTTAAAACAATGTCAGGCTTATGACTATATTTTCTAAGATGCAATTTCAAAGAATGACAATACTTTGTAGCATAGTTGCAGTCGAGACAACGATATTGCAGAACCGTAGAATGAGATTTAAGATGTGAATTTAACATTGATTTGTTGACGCAGCTGTAATTACAATGAGGACACGCGAATGGTTTCAATCTTGAATGATTTCTCAGATGATATTCCAAGTGATGCTTGTATTCGGTGACAAATGCACATTTCGGACATTGAAGCATTTTCTCGGGCTTAATATGTGTTCGAGTATGATCCCAAAACTCTCGTTTTGAAAAAAATAGCTGCTTGCATTGTTTACATTTGTACTGCCTTGGTTTTGTGTTGCCTGATTTTCGTTTCTTATTATTAGTTAAATCTTCACAAGATTCATCATCTTCAGAAAAACTATCATCATCATAAGATTCAATACTCTCTGATCGTCTTCCTAATCTGGTTACATTTTTTCCACTTTTCTCAGGTGTTTGATGTATTTGAGACGGAGACTTTGGAGGTGTGACGTCTATCGGTGGAGTGATTGAAGCATTTTCAATTTCTAATGAAGAACTTCTAGATTTGCTTAGATCCTGAGCTTTTGACGGAGTCTTTTCTTTCGAATTTATGGGATTTTCTATAAAGTTGCCAAACATATTTTCAGAATAGCCTGGAGGTGTTAACGGATTGAACGCGCCAAACTTACGAAAGGCCGGCATTTGTTCTAATAGATCAAGAGTTGATTGAGGTAAAGTTGGACTTAAATTTTGAGATGAGGCCGGTTGGATGTATTGACAACATTCCATTTTTTCAGTTTTAATTTGTTTAGAAGTTTGATTAATCCACATTGTTTTTTGATGCTGTTCGAAATTATTTGGCATGAGAGCAGTTGATCCAACTGAATTTAAAGCTGAACTTTCCCAACTTTGATGCATTCTAACAGAAGAAGAAAAATTATGCGTTAACATATTTTACGTACCTAGTTTTTATATAAAAAAGCCATTTTTAAATTATTTTGTTCACTACCTTCTGAGCTACTTCATCCAATAAAAAACGAATATAACGAAATAAAAAAATAAGCCTCAACAAAAACACACAATCCCCTTCATTATTCACTGAAATAGAAAACAGAGCTGCACCGAGACGCCAATAGCAACGATGTTTTATTACTGGATATCTCCCGTTTGTTTCATCAAAAGTAAAATATTGAGCGAGGGTCTTTTTCCATTATAATTTTTATATACATTTTTTTTCATTTTTATTTTTTTGTAGAAGGGGAAGAAAAAAAAATCTCTTTATTCTTCTTTCGCCCTTCTGTACATGATTAAAAGCTAAAGGGATTTTTTTGTATTTCATTTCATACTTAATTGAAGTGAATCGTACTTTTCTGATAACATTTCTACTTTTTCTCAGTTTTTTTTCTCTTGGAATAAATATAAGGGAAACGATTATGTTATTATATGAGCACGCGCAGTGAATAAAAAAATTTAAAAAATGGAAGAGAAATTGATTCTTGTTTTCCGAAAGTTTCATTTTTTAATATTTCAATAAAAAAAGCTTTAGTCCCATTGGCTTGTAATCAACTTAAAAACTTGCTCAGTTCCTTATTTACAATTAAATTTATTTTTTATATGAGTTTTACCTTTAATAATTGTTGTAAATTTCCTTAATTTTATTATTTTTTTTAAAAAAAGGCCACGAATGTTTTTAATTTACAGATTTTTTTCACTAGTTTTAATCTTTATTCGGCAATATAAATTAAAATAATTTTTTAGCAACCTCTCTCTCTGAACTTCTATGATCAACTGTTATGACTTTTTTAACATCATCATTTGTTATATGTTTGACACTGAATTTGGTTTCTCTTATTTTTCTTTTCTTTGTCGTCTTTCCGAGTCAAAAAAAAACTTAAAACATTGAAACATCAGCCAATCAACGATCAGCTTTTTTGGAGAAATTTCGGAGGGTAAGCATGGAAGAAACAAATGTTTAAAATAAATATAAGACTCATCTGAATCCTTAATCGATGAATTTTATTGAAATAATTAATTAGGAATTTCTTTTTAACTGTATTTTTTAATTTTACGGTTTTATAGATCTTTAATATGAGTAAAAATATTTGAAGAACACTTTTTAAGAAAAATACTTTTCTTAACTAAATCAGAGCAATGCATAACTGTTGTTAGGTTTCCAAACTATTGGTAGGTTTATTCATAATTGTTAAAAATTTTAAATAGATCATCACGGGCATTTCTAAATTTTAATAACTTAATCACAAAACAACAATCACGCATCAAATAAATTAAAAAACAGACGTTTAAAATATTTTAATAACATTTTCATAACTTATTAATTTTTAAGCAAATTGTAGTCGCTAATTTTTTATCATGATTTTATAATTATTATTCACGTTATTATCATGATTTTATGTTTTA